CAGACAAATCAAGAAGCCGAAGCTTAGAACAGAGGCTAAGCGAGGAGGGTATGGTTCCATGGATGACATAGGAAGCTAGAATGAGCGTCTCTAGCCAAAAGAGCTTGCCCAAGTCTGTTAGAAGGTAACTGCTGAAGCTATTGTTCTGCAAGTCGATTAGGCGGAGGAAAGAGAGATTGGTGATGAGAGGGGTGATTGTTCCAGCAAGAGTGAGATTCCCACCCTTGTAACTAGCCAATCCGGGTTCCCGAGGGCGAGACCAGTAACTGTTTCGGATTCAACATCATCATCTAATGTGCTTGAATCACTCCGGAGAATCAGATATCCATTTCCTAGGTAAAATATGTTTTAAGAGAAAAAGGGTAAGAAAAAGAAAATAGAAAAAGTTTAATGGGGTATTTTGGTAATTTAATGCTTTCTGTCATATGGCTAAAAGGTCAAGGGCGTCTTTGTCTAACGGATAAAGTTCAGGGGGGTCTTTGTCTAACGGATAAAGTTCAGGAGGGTCTTTGTCATAAAAAAAATATAGGGGGACTTTGTCACTGACCCCATAGTACAAGGGGGGTCTTTGTAATTTACCCAATAAAATAACATAAATAAGGGTAGTTTAGAATTTTAAAAATATTTAAAGAAATATTTTATGAAGTTAATTGAGGGAATGCTAATGGCAAGGCAAAGTATTGGAATCCAAAAGTTTAGAGGGTCTTTGCTGTAAAACAAATTTACAAAGTATGGACGTTAAGTATAACTATTCCGAAGTACATGGTGATTATATGTGATTTATCCAAAAAAAAAATCTAATTATGATAAGATTTTTATTTGGGATTCCAGATGATAAGAGCAACTTTTTACCCCTAATATCAATAAAAATAACCCTTTTAATATAATTTCCAAAACATGATAACTTTTTTGAATCTCCATTCTTCTTCTTCTTCGCATTTGAGTTGTTTCAAGTTGTCAGCCTTTCTTTCAACTCGACATTATCTAAGCTTTCGCAACTGAAAACAGAGGTAGGGAAGGCCTAAAAATGATGTGAAGAAGAGGTGAACAATATCCCGTGCCCTTATTGGATATTTTTTCAAAAAAAAATATCTTATACTAAAAATTATATTAAAAATGTTATTTTTAATAAAAATTCCCGATTAGTACCCTATATTTAGGGTCTATTGCCATTTTGGTCACCAGGCTTTAAAATGCGACAATCCAATACCTGAACTTTCAAAACATAACAATTCAGTACTTATTGTTAAATAGCTGTTAAGTGGCATTTGAAAAGGACACAAATACCTTTCGAGTGTCATCTAATTTTCTTTAACAACCATCCAACATTGACAAAAAAATTAACAATCTCAAATCCTTGCTTCTTTTATTCAAGAAAATTGGGGTCACCAGAATGCCCACTCAAACGTGACCCTAACTTTCTTGAATGGAAAATACAAAGATTTGGGACTGTTAATTTTTTTGTCAACATGATGGTTGGTAAAGAAAATTGGATGACACTGAAAGGGCATTTGTTTTTTTTTCAAATATTGTATTTTAAAGTTCAGGAACCAAAGTAGTAGTAAACCTAAAGTATAGGGTACTAATTGAATTTTTTTTTTTTTTATTGATATTAGAGACAAAAAGTGCCCTAGAATCCCTTTTTATTTTGCTCCAACTCAAAGGATAACTTCTCAAAAAAAATTGTACTCCCCTTAATTTCTGACATAGTGTCATCGACACCCCTTCCATTAATACGAAAGCGGAGAAATTACAAACCTAATGTTCACCATGAAAAATGTAAAGCGCGAGTGTTGAACGAAAATGAAAGCGTAAAAGATTGAGCTTTTTCCATCAATAAAATTGAAAAAAAAAAAAAAGAAAAAGGGATTTCTCGATGTGTGCATTGATTAGGGTTTAATCAAATCAAAAATCACAGACTGAAGCCAGGAACTAGGGCTAAGGTTGGGAAAAGATCGAGTCCAGAAAGTTTACATGTGTTTTCGCTTCGTGAATCGTGATGGAAGAGGAGCCCTTGGAAAGGAAAATCATATTAAACTACTACACTACTACAACCACCGAAAAAAGCCAAAAGGGAAAAAGCATACGAAGCTTTGAAACACAGCGTCTTAAGAGACAGAGCTGGTGCAAGGGAGAGAGTCTGTAGCTCTAACACCTCTGTAATCGGTCATCATTCATCAATGGTGGCACATAACTCGAAACCTCCGACAAAGATTAAGAATCAATAGTGAAGATCGTCAGATAAATTTTTATCAGACGACTACAGTTAGCATCAGTTAAATTCTAAATCCTTTCCACCAGGGTAAAGGGTAATCTTGGCATTTAAAAATGTTGCAATTATCACAGGCTCACAGCAACAATTTTGATTAACATTTTAACGCCGAGTTTGGAAGGAGTGTCGTTGCCACAGGTGTCAGAAACTTTACGGAATGGCAGTGACAGTAGCATAAAGCAGAGTATTGAACTGAAATTGTCAGAAATTACAGGGGAGGTTTTAACAATTTACCTTTACTTTTTCATCAAGGATAACTGGATAAGGACCTGCAGACTCTCTCTCTCTCGCTCTCTCGCACTTTTATCTTTTGCTCTGTAAAACTGAAGATGAGGAAAATGGCAGCGAAGAAATCCATCGTCTCAATACGCCTCATCCTTCTCTTGACCTCCTCTCTGTGCATCTCTTCCATCCCCTCAAACTCATACTTAACAGACCCACCACCAACACCGACGCCATGGCCTCACCAGTTTCACTCCCTCCTCTACATGAACTCCAGTGGAACCCTACAAATTGTCGATCTCTGGTACGACTGGCCCAACGGCCGCAACTTCAACATCATACAGAATCAACTTGGTAAGCTTCTTTACGATCTTGAATGGAACAATGGAACTTCCTTCTACTACACCCTGGACTCCAACCAGGAATGCAGGATCCGCCATTTCGAAGTGGGGATCCTTAGACCCAACTGGCTAGATGGTGCAAATTACCTAGGCCAAGAATACGTTGATGGGTTCCTTTGTAATGTATGGGAGAAGGTCGACTTCATTTGGTACTACGAAGATGTTGTCACCAAGAGGCCCGTCCATTGGCTTTTCTTCACAGGTATGGCTGGCAATGCATGGAAAACCCAGATTGGTTTTTCATGAACTAGCTAGGGAATTTGTCCGAATTGGAAGTTGAAAGCTCTCTTGGTGATTTATTTGACTCTCCGTTCACCTAAAATGTTTGATTTCACTTTTCAGGAATGTCTGCCCATGTGATGACATTCGAAGTAGGAGCAGTGCTCGAGGATGAGAAATGGCAAGCCCCAGTATATTGCTTTAAAAATGAGGAGGAAAGGAACAAGCTACAATCTGTAATCCCTGGTGGTTCTCAAAAGGGTTTGGCGGATAGCGGGGCTTTCAGAGGTTTAATGGGATGGTATTGATTATAATCTAATGGTGTTCCCTGTCCCGATATGTCTATCATTAAAACTAATAAATTTCATGCATCTTTCCTTTGAGAAGAAAGTGTAGACCGGGTGTTTCAATTCGGATTCAAATGGCTCTGCTTTGCTATTTCAAATTTCAATCGTTGGTTGTTCTTGACTTCATCTGATCTGATCAACTGCACATTAATAATTCCTACCAATGGGCATGAGAGTTTTCATAAGCTTGGCCACTATTCTTGGTCTGTCTTTTTGCCTGTGGAGGATACTTGTAAAAAGCTAGCTTTTATAAGACCCAAGAACCAATTTCTTGCTTGGAGCTTGGACTAAGAATTCCATGTTTTTTACTTTGTTGACTTCTTTTTTAAATTTGCTAATACCCGGAGTTATACAGCCTTTTGTTTAACGTGCTACACTGCTACTCTACAAGGTACAAGCTGATGAAACAGAAAAAAAGAGAGGATTGATTACTTGACCATGTAGGATGAAACCATTAGTGGTCATGGTTATGGAGCAGGGGAGCGGTCTGACGGTGAAGACGATGGTGTTTTCATCTTTAGCCGATTGAAGGGAAAATCCAGCTAGTCCAAATGCATTGGATCCTGAGTGCCCACCGATCTCCCTATTAACTAGGGTTGTTCATAAAAAACCGAAATGGAGAGGAAAATCTGAAAGATTGAATAATTTTATTTATTATTAATTAATTGATAAATTAATAATAAAAATTTGTTGTTACTTAACCGAAAGTATTGTTAATATTTAAAACTTTAATAATTGTATTTTTCATTTAATGCTGATTTACAGAAAATAATTATTGTTTATTTAATATGAACAAATATTTTTTGATAAATTTAATTTTATTAATCATTTGTAGTAATTTTAATAACTGTTATTATTTTCATTATTTTTAAATGAAATTTTGAATGACTTTAAATTAATAAAAATAATTACAAAAACTAACATTTTTATTAATCTCACTAATAATTAACAATTATATAGGAAAGGCAATGCGGCAGGTTCGGGGTAGGGCACCCCACCCCATAGGCCATAGTCAAGACACTCTGCCCCATCCCCACTCCACCCCCAGTGTCAAGTGGGTTCAAGTCAAGGCACCCACTCCCAGTTAGGGACGGGGAATCCTCGAATTTCCTCGCCTCTCCTTAGTGTTGAGCGAGTTTCAGGTAAGGGACCCACTCTTCATTAAGAATGGGGAATCCTCGAATTTTCCCCGCCCTGTCCCCAGTGTCGGGTGTGTTCAAGGTAAGGCACCCACTCCCTGTCAACCTAATATTCAATTTGATAACAAAAATGACCAAAAGGATATATTGAGTATCAACCACATGGTAAATTTCTAAAAGTACACTAAATTGTCTTTAATTTTCAAAAATGTAATTTTATTAAATTTTTGAAAAATTTATTACATTTGTGTAATTTTGAAAATTTATTCAAAATTATTTTTAAAATTGTTATTAAATAATTTATTTTCTTTTTAAATGGTTTACTTACAAAGTTACACTAATTTATCTTATATTGTCTAATATAAATTTTCTTTTTTCAATATTATACTAAATTACAAATTCCCCTTTCCCATACTCATTTATCTTTAATAATTTTCAATAATTTACAATGAAAATTATATAATTTGTCAATAGTTTTCCAAAATCTACCAAATGTAATAAATTTTCCAAAGTATAATATTTTTCAATAATCATTTAATACATTTTAAATAAAATTTCAAAAATTTTATATCTTTTAATTTCCAAAATGTTATTTTATGAAAATGTAGTTTTATGAAATATTTTGAAAATATATTACATTTGTGTAATTATGGAGATTTATTGAAAATTATTTTAAATTGTTATTAAATATTTATTTTTATTAGATAGTTTTCTAACAAAATTACACTAATTTATCTTTTATTTTCTAATATAAATTAATTAATAATTTCATTTTCCAACATTATAATATTTATTCCCCTATCTACATTCGATTATTAATTATAATAATAGAAATAACTAAAATGTTATACTTTTTGATAATTGTTAAATATAATTCTCAATTTTATAGAAATTAGTTAAAGAGTTTTCAATTTCTATTAAATGTTGTTAATCAACATGAATATAACAGTATTTACCCAAAATACTTTAAAAAGTCATGATGAGTTAATTAATAGCAATATTTATTATTTTTTATAATTTACTAATTGTACTAATAAGAATATTTAATTTTTCGTAATTTACTAATTGTATTTATTAACTTTTGGTAATAACACTATTTAATATTCATTGAATATGGGTTGGGTTAAATATTAACCATATTCAACTATTTATTAATTAATATGAATGTTCTAAATGAGAGAGTGGATATAGATTGGGGGGAGAGATTTTTGATTGGGGAGTGGGGTAATATGATAAGTTCCTAATGGCTTGGAGGAGATACTTTAGGAGAGAGATTTTAAGAGTATATATATAGATATATAGATAGATAGATAGATAGATAATATACTATAAATAACAAAAAACCAAAGAAGCAAACCCATAAAAAACCGAACTGGCAACTGGTTAATTAATTGGTTTTAATTCGGTTTCGCTTTTTCAAAAACCAAATGATTAGTTCGGTTTGAAAAAAAAAAGCCCATGGTTAGGTTAACCTACTTTAAGCACCCCTACAAGTCACAACCAGAAAAAAGGAAACGGTCCCCACCCCCGAGATAGAACGTAATATCTAAATAAATTTTTTTTTGGATAAATTGTTGAAACTTCCTCCAATTGCAAGTAGACCGCCTTTATTAGAATCCTCTAACAAATGACACAAAAATGTCCGAAATACCTATGCAAATACTTTTAATCAAAATGTTTATTTCCAAATTTTCTCTCCATGTCAATCACCAAATCATTCCAATTTCTTTTTTCTTAAATTGATTTATTTTTCAAATTTACCCTTCATATCAATTGTTCAAAGGTGAAGTTACAACTTTTAAACTCTTTTTTTCTTTTGTTCTTCATGAAGTTTGTATTTTTTTTCTGTAGAAACCAGCCTCAATCATAACCACATGGGTATTTTGGACATTTTAGTGCCTCTTGTTAGAGGATTCTAACATAGAGGGTCTACTTGCAATTATATCAAGAAGTTCAAGGACGCGATTGTAATTACCAAACTTCAGATTCAGAAGAGGTTTGAGCAATGGCAGACACTATCCACCTTGGCATTTTCTACATTAATTAAAAAAAAAGAAATTCTCTTTGGATTCCTGGCATTTCGTAAGTAAATTCAAGGGTAAATTACAAAGACCCCCCTTGTACTTAGGGATGGCAATTTTCCCCATCCCCGATGGAACTTGACTTTTTTACCCCATCGGGTCGGGGATGGGGATTGTTTTGGCAGGGTGGGGACGGGGATGGGGACTGAGGTCCCCGCCCCATCCCGACCCCAATTATATATATATTATTTATATTATATATGTATATCAAAATATATTTAAAAAATATTTATAATTTTAAAGTTTTATTTAATTAGTAAATTTATTTTTCAAATAAATACTATTATCTAAAAAAATTTTAGGGATTCGGGTCCCCGCGGGGAACCCATCCCCGTCGGAGATCAAGGAGGATGACAAATTTTATTCCCAGCGAGGATCGGGAACAAGGACGGGGTTGATTTCATAATTAGGGTTGGGGACGGGACGTTGCCATTCCTACTTGTACTATGGGGTCAGTGACAAAGTCCCCTCATACTTTTTTTTTGCGACAAAGACCCCCCTAAACTTTAGCCATTAGACAAAAACCCCCTTTCATTAATGTTCTGTTAGTTCGAAAAAAATTTCATCCGACTGTTAAAGTTGTTTAAATGTCCAAACTACCCTTTTTATACTGTTCATTATCTTCTCCATTGAAGTTAGGTGAAATGGCATAAAAACAACGGTTTTGAAACATTCAATGGAGAACATTAACGGAATTTGAAACATTCCGTGATGAAAACTGTGTTTCGCTCTGATTGAAAAGAAGCGGTTTAATCTTCGATGGAGAACAAGTTTCTGTTTTCTTTTCCAAAGACAGGAAGGGAAAAGACAGAGGAGATTAGCTCAGAGATGTTATGATTTGCATCAGATCTGTAAATTACTCCTCACTTTCAGAAAAATTGCTTTTTATTTTAAAGTCCTTGTAAAACTTACTCACATAAAAGATACAACCGCATAAAAGAGTCTTGGCCCAATACTTAAACTGAAACAGAAATTCCGTTACAGCCAGGAACTTGGTTTCAACCCAAAAATCTCAGTACCGCCAAAAAAAAAACAAAATCTGACTTGCCGCCGGCAATTGAAGTTGTCTCCTTGATACTTGAAGAAGTTTGCCATAGAGCTTGTATCAGTCGACAAGGAAAACTCGGGAAAAAGTTTCGGTGGGATGGGCGAGCTGTTCTTCCATCACATTTGATATTTCCCTCCCCCTCATCATATTTGGCATTTCCCTCCCACTCATCGTACCCGTTTCCTCTTCAAATAACTCCTTTCCCTATTCTCTCTTAGTTAAAAGAAACGTACATATACAAAATAAAATTGATGCAGAAACAAAAATCATCAAGGAAGGCCTCATATCAGACACTAGCAAAATAAAATTGTTTCAAACCCCTTGCTGGTTCAATTGGTTAACATTAGCAAGATTGGCCCCAGACAACGTGGTCGTCAGTGTCTTCTCCATGATTTTTGGAATTGTTATTTTGGTGAAGGGGTTTGGGTTGAGAAGACCAGGAAGGAGCTAAATAAGCTCCGGTGAACCAGCAAGGGCAACGGAATCTTCTTGTACATGGCCATGATGTTTTGATCATGAAAAAGAAAATAACCAACAATCAAAACAAACAAAATCACTCTGCAGGTCTATATATCCATTTTCTAGGTTAAATATGTTTTAAGAGAAAAATGGCAAGAAAAATAAAATAGAAAAAATTTAATGGGATATATTAGTAATTTAATGCTTTTTATCATCTAACTTAACGGTCAAGGGAGTCTTTGTCTAACAGTTAAAGTTCAGAGGGATCTTTGTCACAAAAAAAACTACAAGGGGACTTTGTCACTGATCCCATATTACATGGTACAAGGGGTCTTTGTAATTTACCCTAAATTCAAACGTGCAATCGTCGGTTCCGCGATAAGTAATTATTGGTTGGTTTTGTTTGGTGAATACCAATAAATAGTCTCTTTCTCTCGCCACGAACACGATCTCTCTGTTCATCTCCTGTAAAACTGAAAAGGTAAAGTAGATAACGATAATGGCAGCCAAACCCATCATCGCAGCACACCTTATCAACCTCTTAACCTACTGCGTTTGCTCCTCAAAGTCATATTCAACAGAACCAGTTCCAACACCAACGCCATGGCCTCACCAATTCCACTCCATCCTCTTCATGAACTACAGTGGATCTCTCCAAATTATTGATCTCTGGTACGATTGGCCCAACGGTCGTAACTTCAACATCATCCAAAATCAACTGGGTAATCTTCTGTACGACCTCGAATGGAACAACGGAACTTCCTTTCTGTACACCTTGGACTCGTCCAAGGAATGCAAGACTTCCCAGCTCGAAGTGGGTATCCTACGACCCAACTGGCTCGATGGTGCAAACTACTTGGGCCAAAAATACGTCGATGGGTTCCTGTGTAATGTCTGGGAGAAGGTTGATTTTATATGGTACTACGAAGATGTTGTCAACAAGAGGCCTGTTCACTGGGTCTTCTATACAGGTATGAACTTGAGCCATCATCCACCCAGAACTTTCACAATAAGGAAGCTGCCTTGCTAATTTACTTTGATTCTCCAAGCCTGTAATATTTTGGCTTTGCATGTTTTCAGATTTTGTTTCTTTGCAATTTACATCAAACTAAAACAAATTAAAGGATCTGAAAACAAAGTTTTCGCTGCAAAGGAAGCAGATATAGTAGGCTCAAAAATATAGTCTGGAAAAAATCATCAATTTTAAGGAGAAAATGCAGCCTTTATTTTCTTCTTCTTCTTCTTCTTCTTTTTCTGATGCTCGTGTGTGTGTTTTTGGGAGGGAGCGGGGGATTGGTCTGCTTTCAAGGTCATACAAGTTCTTCGTCCTGATTTTTTTTTTTATTTATTTCATTGTATCTACAGGAAGGGCTGCTCATGTGATGACATTTGAGGTGGGAGCTGTCCTCGAGGATGCCAAATGGCAGGCTCCCATATACTGTTTTGAGAAGAAAGAAGAGGAAAAGAACAATAAACTACAATCTCTGATTGTTAGTGATTCTTAGAAGAGTTTGATGGACATTGGCGTTTTGAGAAGTTCAACAATGTGACATTGAGAGGATTTTTTTCTCCTCTTTTTTTTTTTTCGATGGCTTGGCATTGAGAAGTTCGACAACTACAATGGATGGTTTCACATACAAAGGACTTTGATTGTCATGTCAATTTTTAATTAATCCTCGTCATGCTGCATATTAAGATTTCAATTATATAGAACCAAACAGATAACAGATTGTCAGCACAACTGCACAAGTAAAATAATAGCTTCTGTAAACCAGACCATACAATCTTTTCTTTTCTTTTTATTCTTAGCAACCGGATTGTACAACCCCTTCAATCAACAAATGGAAATGAAGCTAGAATAATCAATAATCTGCCCCATGTAACATTCTTTCTTGATAAAACAGGATACCTACTAACCCACACACACTGTCTACTAAGAAAGTCTCAAGGTTATAGACATGCATACAAATGAATGGGATACGAATTCACAAGGATTATATAGGCTGCCCAAGCGATCTGAGTAGAAGGAACGCATATGGAAGTAGTTGAAGAAAACCATCCTTGAGACGCCAAATCTTGAAGAACCACAAAGCATGGTTATTGCCTGTGAATGTTTTCTAGCCATCAGCTACAATTACTTGAAAACATACAAAGCAGAGAAGAAATATACCTTTTTGAAGAGAAATTAAGAAGCAATGCCACCCTGCTTTGCTTTCAGTACAATCTCCTCTGTGGTGGTGCCAATGATCTCGTTAGCACGCTTTAAACCTACACAATAATATCTTCCAATGCTATCCTGAATCCACAGAGCTAACATTCGTCAGGAACAGGAAAGATGAAAACATAATCATATAGAACTCAAGACTTTGGATCCTAATCTCCACTTATTTGCTAAGCTCATACATGCCGCATGCAAATTTGCATGTGATAGTGGTTCCACTATGCAGGAATATCGATTCAAATGAGCAGTCTATTCCTACACAGACAGCACCAGTCATTTCAATCCAATGGCTGAGCCACCATATATAAGGACTTCATTTTTTTTTTTTTGCTTCCGATATATAAGGACTTCATTGGAGCATGCATTTTGCAACAAATTTCTTCTATTTTGTACATCTATTTGCATCCATATTGACAACCTCAGCAGCAACTCTTTTTCTTTGAACTACCTAAATCAATGAGAATTGATTTTTAGATTCAGGTGAGAGAAGACAATGCAGGTTAAAAACTCACCCGACCAACAATACCTAGCTTCTCTAATTTTTGGACTGCATCATCCACATCAAAGTTACATTTCTCACCAAACTCTTCATGGATTAGTTCTTCACAGCGAAGGTCAAGATCCTATATCGCATTATTATAAGAAGTCAAATGTCAGTTGAGTAACATTACTTCATATTTTCATTCTTCATATTCATTAGTCATTACAGAAGTAGGCCATGGAAGTGGGAAAGAGTGTGGAGATGATTCATACTTCTCTTGTAGCTTTACCCTGTTCCATCAAAATAAAGAATGCAATGATCACCTCTTTGACCTGCATATGCAAATTATAATAAAACTAAAGTTTAAGAACTTTCTTTGGTAATAAATAAAAAAGAAAACTTTTACTAAAGATAAAAAGTACAAAAAGGTAATAAGATATCACCCCCAAATTTAGCAACCAAGACCCACCACAATGAAAAAAAAAAAACCTTCCATACCCAAAGACAAGTCAAGATCCAACAGCACCTTTAAAAGATCCCAACCCTTAACAATCCTAACAAAAATCGCCAATCCAACTCCTTTTTAACCTTTTCCTCATTCAATGGGTATCTGTTCTCCAAATCCCAAAACAATTTCGCCATCATTTCTTCCCCTCTTAACACTAAGATCCCTAGAACCTTGCTTACTTGGACTCCAGTTTCCACTACCTTGTTCAGGTCTACTTTCTTTTCTACCTGCCTTACTGTATCCAACATATCTCCTTCCTCTTCCTTCTCTGCAGATTTGTCTTCCTCCAAATCCTCCTCCCTCTCCTCACCTTCCTCCTCTTCTTCCACTTTGTTTTCCCCTGAACCACCCTCCTGTCCCCGTGTCCCATCATCTCCTCTTCTTTCTGCATAGAATTTTGTGTTTCATCTTTAGGACACTACCCACATCTTTCTTTCAGATGAGTTCTCTCTTTTATTTCTTGCTTCAATCCCCCCCCCCCCACCTTGATATATCTTCTTGAATTTATTGCAAGGGCCATCCCTAAAGAGACCTTCCTTCAGCAAGTCAGCTAAGTGATCCTGATTTTCGTAACATTATTTAACATTTAATAAATGTAAAATTAATTATCACCCAAAAGAAGTTGATAACACAACACTGATTAAGACCTGTGATGCCATGACCCAACACAATCACTTTGGGCTACAAGAGCCGCCAATTGACACAAACTTCAGGAAACTGCTGCTATCAGATTACATTTCAGCATAGTCAAGATGACGCAACATATTCTCACAATGTAGGCCAAAGAAAAATTCAAGTCAATTGAGCCATAGACAAGTTGGTTTTCCCAACAATGTCTTACATAGTCAAGATGTTTAAACTGTTATTTGAGACATGATTGGTTTTCTATCCCCTAGTCATATATACATATGCATCAAGGTAATATTTACTCCAATTTCATCATATTCAGAAAATTTCAGGAATCAGAAATCTTGTTGAATACTCAAACAAATTAAGAAACCATATTAAATTATAAGCTCTTTGAACCTGCTAAAGCTTTCAAACAGATCTGAAGTGAACTCAAGCATGACCATGACAAAGGTTTAAAACATCATAACCTACAGAAATGGAATTAGATTTTGGAAATTTATCGAAGTTAATAAAAATAAAAGTCATAGGATGTCTGGAAACATTATATACAGGCAAGAATAATAAGCATTATCTAAATAGGAAATCAAAGCTATATTTTCAAAAGATGATTAGACAAATAATACACACGTCAGACCCAAAAAGCAACGATTTTGGATAACAAAATTGAGATCAATAATAAGTAATCCAAATCCCTAAAGCTTACATTGATACATAGTTTTCAAAGTGCCAAGGCGAGGTTAGGCGACGGGGGCGCTTGTCACCTAGTCGCCTAAGTAAAAATCACATATCCTAGGGTAGTTCCCTAGGTTCCATAACCAACTTTCTTTAATAACTATCCATAATTTTCATAAGAAAATTATAAACTTCATGTTTAAGTCTAGAAAATCAACATATTTATGAGAAGAAAAAGAAGAAAGGAAAGAAAATTCAAAAAATATAGGGGCTGAACCCCTATTTTTGTTATAGG